GGTTGAATACATGGTAGTGCCAAACTGTCTGTTATGAGTTTTAGGTTTCAGACATTCTGAACACAGACATTGCCCCCCCCCAATCTTGGCACCTATTGGTGTAATCCTTTTGAATCAAGTTTCAAGCCAACTCTACCAATGAAAGTGTGTTGGCAAAACTACCTTGACTGATGAGTCAGGTATGATATGCTAATCCCACACAGCTTGACTTGAGTGAGAAAGAAAATGGTGTAGTAGGGGTAAGCAGGTGTCACAAATCAATAATAGCAGTTTGATGACAAATACAATAATTGTTCCATCCATCAACCAGTGTGCCTTACCCAATGCCTAGCTTAGCTAAGTTCTTTGATTTTTTCAAGGAAAGGTTTGTGCCCTAGTCAATGAGCTTGGTGAGGTTAAGTTCATCCTTCAGAATCATTCTTCTTATATATTTCCACTATACACATGTGATCTTCAAAATTACATATGGAGTTTTAAGTGTACAATACAAAGCAACATTTGATAAGGACCTGTTAGCATTGCTGGTAAAGCTCATATTATCTGGCCCAGGGCAAAATTTCAGATCATTTTGTTAAGTAAAATTATGTATGCAATTGTCAGACACTGAGACACTAGCCCGGGTGTCTACAAGAGAATGTAACTCCCTTGAGTTACATAATAAATATTTTTGTATGTAATCTTTAAGTTGATAATTATTAAGTAATGTTATTTATTATTATGTATTGTTTATGTTAATCAATATTCTTTGAATTAATAAAGATTTACCTCTTTATCAATTTACCTCCTCCATGAAGATAACAATCAAGTTGAAAAGGATAATTATCTCTTGGGTGTATCCAAGAGATGATTATCCTTTTTATATCTCTTGTGTGTATATTTCAACAGGCAAGAGTGTAACACCTGTAGTGACACTCTTGACTGTGACAAGTAATATAAAATATCAACTAAGATACAATAAGAATAATACATAATTATAAGTATGCAGAGTCAGAAAGTTGTATTTGCATAATAAATACAAGATTGAGAAACTAGAAAGAGAAAACATATAACAAAGAAATAATCAACATCAAATAAGATAGAAAATTGATGAGATTGCAACATCAAACAAAATAAAAGATTGATGAGATCATAATCAGATAAAAAAATAAGTGGAGGTTTTCATAAAGCAAAAAAAACCTCAAGTTTTCTGAATCACCTAAAAGGAAATAGGCTACCTCTGTCTGAATGAGGACCCTTATTTTAACTTGAGCTATGAGCACATTGTTTACATACTGGGGATAACCCCAAAAGAGAATCTAAGAATACTTAAAGAGAGGACTCAAGAGATGAATGATAGATCTTCCTTTTTCCCCAGCAAGAATCACTAGTCAATAGAGAGATACAACCAATCCCGCCAATCCAAATAGCATTCACTAAAAGTTCCACCCTTTAGAAATACCTCTTGCCTTGGAAGATTGCCTTACACTTTATTCTAGTTGATATTGCCTATAAACCTCAGTCTCTGGTACAAGTCTAGGTAACACTGGTCTGTTATCTATTGTCTGTTACCCTCTCTCCTTTATTCCCAACTCGATGATCTGTTGCTGCTCTGGATTGCCCTGGCTATTAGCAACAGGAAGCTTGAGTAAGCCTCAAGCGTATCTTTTTCCTGGGCCTCAATTGAAACTAATCTCCACTCTTGTTGATATCTCATAGTCTACGGTTATAGCACTATGATTCTTCATTGTAAGTAGGATAAGCCTGACAGTATATTTCTTCTGTTTATCTCTCTTATGTGTATTTTCTGAAATAAAAGATATTCAACACATGTACATTTAGCATGCTTTGATTTTCCTGTTACTTTCCCCCAAGGAATAGTGTAACAATAAGGGGACTGCACCGGTGTGGTAAATAATACTGTGTTTCTACGCAGAAAATCTAAAAATTTCTTATTATCTCTTTATTCATTCAAGATATGGTAAAAATGACATCAAAAATGGAATCCTCAGGTAAAATAACCCCTAGTCACCCACTACAACCATACCCTTATCTCTTATAGTTTGGAAGTTACACGTATTTCAACCTGTCAAGGGATATTTCTTGTATTCTTCACTCTAGCCATAGTCATTATGAATACAGGATGCATATTGAATACTGGATTCCTTTGTAGTAAATTGAATACCTTTACGTTATTTTGAATCCCTTTGTATTAGTGATATTGCATGTATGCATCCCTTTGATCATAATATGCATCCCTTTGTAGTAGTATCTTTCAGCCTGTACCCTGGGGCCAAAATCCCTCACATTTGTCTATATAAGGAGGCCTCTGCCTGCCAGTTGTTCCCTTCATCATCCCACCAGTGGACCAGATCATCTCAACCACCCTTATAAATAAATCCATCTTATATATTATTTCAGAACTACAAGTCATAGCCACATTACAATGTCAGAATTATATACATTGAAATACAGATTTAACACTTTCATCATCATCATAAACCAAAAGTGCCCTGAACCATATCCATCAACAACAACTTCATCAATATAACCAACAGTCAACAACATCTTTATACCCTCACACATATCAATCGGCAGCTTCATCTCAAACTTATCCCTATCACTATATATAAAATTGCCAAGCTAAGCTTGGTGGTCTTGTTATTCTGATAGTATAGAAGGGCAGAGCTTGCAACTCCAACATACCCTTCTCCATTCAGCAAAAGGGTTTTCACAACCACTTTTGAGTCTTACACCGGTACCAGCAGCAGTTTGACCCCTGCTTTGTAATATTTAAAGGGATGACTCTTTCCCTGAGATTTCATCCCTCAGACAATTATTACCATACAAAACCAAGTACCTTACTAAATATTACATTATAATAAATAGTGAGTGGGGTCTTTACAGTAGTCTATTGTTACATTAATTATTGCACGTTTCCTTATCTTCATTACAAATCTTTATAAGTTACATATTTAACTTATAAGACTAGTACCACCTTATGTCTCTTATAATATCTCAGCTCAGACACTGTGAAGCTCATTCCCCAATTGTCCCTTATTCTTATAAAGAGCTAGCCCCTTCACTGTACAAGTGTTGAGGAGAGGCTTATTTTCCACTGGCCACTCCTTCCTTGGCTATAGTGTGACCCATTACCCCATCAACTCTTGGTCACATAGAAGACTAGAGCTGACAGCAATTTTGAACACCACAGTAGTACTTGCATTAAGATTCCATTTTTTTCCTGATCTCTCTTTGATTTGCTTTCAACCTTTCATTTCATCTTAAATCTCACATTTTGTGAGACTCATGTATTGAGTCACCTCAGACTAGTAGTTCTTTTTATGGATAGGCAGAATATGGAAGCAATCAAATTCACCTTTTCCAATACATTCATCCAAGAAGCCAGTTTGAAAGAAATTTTAATATGCTGGGAACCTGAGAAAAACCTTGGTCAGGAATTGGGAAATTGGGTGCAAGTGCCAGGTTGAATTGCATCTCTGACATGGATCTCAGCTGTACCAAGACTATGAACAACAAGAGGATGGTGAAGTTGATCCATTGAGTATCTGTACATGTAATGTGTCTATTAAGGTGAGCATTCAATGAAAGAGTCCAGTCAATTCTAGAAAGAAAAAGAAATGGTTTAACTGATATATCCCGTGTTGAGCCTAGGTTTTTGAGGATTTAACAGATGCCTATGTAACTTGCTTGCAGCTGATGAGTTGGATTGTAATGTATTGGCACACGATAAGTTGGGAAGAGAAAAATACATCCTTACTAATTGTAAATTAATATTTTCTGCAATGGAAATGATAATGTTGGTACACATGTATTGATAAATCAATTTAAATGGTTTCTTTAGAAGAGGCGTTGTTAGCCCTACTTTAGCAGTACAATCAAAAACTACAAAGAGCGCAGATTTTGTTGTGTTTATGTGAGAGCCAAGATCATGAGAACCAAGTGGCAAACCGGGAAGGGGCGGGAATGCAAGAAGAACTCCGAGTCAACATGTGGAAGGAGAAATCAAGAAAGAGATGAGATCAGCAGACCAATAAGATAGCGACCAATCCGAATATAGTCCAGCAGGCGCCGTCCTTCGCAATCTTCTTGAACAAGTTATCCATCCGTTTATTGGCTCTCGTCAATCGGTTCGACGTAAAGTCTAGATCCTGGTCTAATTCATCCAATAGGTTCTCCTGTACTTCTAGTTCTGATGAGATGTGTAAGGATAGATCGCGTTGTCTAGAAATCGCATTTGATAGTTCATCTAACGTCCTATCCTGATCTGTTGGTTAAGATTAAGATCATCATTATCTGATCTGGTTTTTATTCTTCTTCTTCTACCTGCGAAGATCTATATTATATACTGACCATCTAGCAAGACTTGTTGAATCCGTTGTACCTGTTCGTTCTCAGATCTCATCAGTTCTTCATCCTCTTCGATTGCTTTCCTCGAGCGAGTTCGAGTGGTACTGGGGATGTCGATAGCCATAGAGGACTGAGAATTCGACTGAGGAGTTTGATGAAGATTGGATGTGACAGGTGAGCTGGTAGGTTCGAGTTCGGTTCCTTCGACATCGATCAAAGGTTCTTCTGTTCTTGTTGTTGTTGTTGTTGTAGTAGTAGTAGTAGTGGGTGGTTTTGAGGAGGGTAATGATAGATCGATTCCTTGGATCTCAGTTTCCATTCCTCCGACTCCTCTGACCAATCCTACGATCCGTTGATACTGATTCCTGAGTCCGACCAAGATCTGGTCCTGTTCGTCGATCCCAGTTTGGATGAGTCCATCGCGCAGAGTGAGCAGGTTCTTGAGTATCTTCGACTTGGTGGCTGGGTTGACAGTCAGTTCGAGTGAGTTCTGCTGCGATAGTTCCAAGATTGAGGTCAGTAGACTGGTTGAGATTGATGAGAGTCTGGCTGGTGTGGGTGGTTTGGTGCTCGTCATGTCGTGTGGTGTGTTTGTCTTGTTGGTTGGTTCTTGACAAGTTTTACCAAAAAAAAAGGAAAAACCAAAAGACGAGATGACAACAACAAACCACTTGATCTCGATCTGGGTTTCATCACCAGACTCATACTCAGAACGCAGATGGTCACCACACCTCACGATATCAGAACTAAGAGTAAGCTTCTTCACTTCAACAAGCTACATAAACTTCAAAGAACTAATCCAGCACACTCTTCGAATTCAGGCCAAGCTTCAACCGATCACTGGCATCCCAGCAGGCTCACAAAGATTGGCATTAAGCCTTATCCCAGGACAGTCGGACAGTACTCGATCGATCCTACTAGATAACGATCAACTGAGCTTATTGGATTATGGAGTACAAGAAGGAGTTACCATCGATGTCTGTATTTTCCTATCTTCCCTCCACCACCCCTGTTGTTCATTTTGTACTCTTGACCAATTAACTCTCTCTCTGAATAGGTCATCGACACCGATCCTCATGCTGCTTCTCAAGCGGGACAGTATAGCGATGTGAGCCAAGTTGAGAAGTTTGAACTACCTAAAGAGGAGTACGAAAAACGATCAGGTAATCAAGCTCTCCTCCTCAAAGTTAACGAAGATTCAGATTTGATACTCATCAAACCGAGTTTTGTTTCTATCTATATAGATAGTCTATTGGCGTTCAAGATGAGAAACAAGTTAGGTAGATTCAACGATCCAGCCAAAAGCACACAAGAAGACCCATCAGAATCGGCCACACTTAGTCAGACTGAGTTACTCGAACGTTATCCGCTCGGATCTCGCTGTCAAGTCAGCAGTCTGACCAACCCATCAGAAACAAACCCATCTCGAGGGACCATCCGATTCGTTGGACCAGTAGAATTCAATCACAAGCATCCGTATTGGATCGGGATTGAATTAGATGAACCAGTTGAGCTTGTTTACCGTCAATAATACTCGTTGGATTGTTGGCTGATGTAAATTCCATTCTGTTCCGTTTTCAGACTGGGAAGAATGATGGCTCAGTCGAGCTCCATCGATATTTCACTTGTCCCCCTAAACGTGGGATCTTCGTCCAACCTGATCGGATCCTCATCGGCGATTTTCCTCCAATCGATTTGCTTCAAGATGATGATGATGATGAAATCTAGTATCTCTTCTTCACTCTCCGTTCCGCCTCTTTTCATTTGTTATGTCAAATGATGAAGGATGATTGTCATGCTAAATTACTTATAAGTTTAAATGATATTCTAGTTTTTTTTTTGGTTTGGTGGCTCTGGATTGAAGATGAGGAAAACCAAGAGAATACGTCATTTTTCTTCATCATGACAGGAAGAGAAAAATTACGACATCATGAATTGATCAGCTGAGGTCTTTCTGCACAGTCAATCAAAGTTTGATTTCTACAGAAAGTTTAGCTAATCAAACACCACAAAAATGCCCCTCATGTATGTATCAAGTTCAACAATGAAATCCATCTCATTGTTACAATTTTTATATTGAAGACTCTTCAACGTTGCAATATGAAAGCAAAAAGCAGAGTTTTGTGGTACCAGATCATAACATAGACACCAGCATAAGGTGTATGAAGATTTGACTAGATTTCCCTTGCAAAAGAATTGTTTAGATCCAAAGAAGGTCAATGCATGTGATGCTGTAAGCAATCAATCTCATTTTGAAACATTCCTTAATTTGTGGTCCAACTTGTTATCTTTCTTTTACTCCAGAGTCCGAAGTCAGCATAGGATTTGCTGATACTTTATAAGCTCCGGTGATCAAACTAAAGACAAAACTGGAGACAAAACTTCTCAATCATTAGATTTTGAACAGTCTGATCAACTTTTGGTCATCTCACAAAATTCCAAAGAACTTCATATACATTGAGAAACATTTGCTTCCAATCCAGTCATCTGATCTATATTAGCTGCACTGCACAGGAACAACAAGAAATTGGTACTCTGCAAGCTTCATACTAGAGTAGAGTAGAAATTTGTGAAAAAATATGCTTCTCTGTCTTGTTCACTCTTCCCAAAAAAGAAAAGACTGAATCAACTCTACTTTTTAGAACTTGATCAGAGATGTTTCTTCTAGAGACTTGCATGAAAGAAAACATCAAAGGGGAAAGAATCTTGTATTTATCAGATTATTATAAACGAATCCTTGAATTTGATGCTCAAGAAACTGTAATTTTGATATGTATGTATGAAGAAAGCTCAAGGGATGAGGGACTCGGAGTACTGGGACCGGTGGACCAGTGATGGACGCCGAATTGGTCGGTGGGTCTGATTACGTCAGCGAGACGGCATCCGATCGATCAGGTTTTCTGCCATGCCTGGGCCCAGCACACCACCACCACCAACTCCCAGCGACCATCGACACGAACACCAAAAAGAGAAGATGCGTTGGAAACAGTTCTCATTGGCGACGATCGGCCTATCCGCATCATCATGGCTTGCAAGTGTCTCATCAGACCAAGTCGTCCTCGATCTCCCCCAATTCGCTGTCCCATCCAGCCTCCCAGCCCGGGTGACAAACTACCTACGGACGATCGATATCTCGGGCACGATCACTCGAGAACAGCTCATCCTGCATCTCAGACGGACTCAACATGATAGCATGAATTGGTATCTTCCAGTCGAACCTCATCGGGCCGCCAATCTGAGCTCCATGGAAATCTATGAGGGCAAGGCTAACAAAACCGGCGGACCTGGTAATCGGGGACTGAAGATCGAACCAATGGGTTACGATTCAGGAAAGTGAGTAATCAAACCAAAGAATTAAAACACTTGAACCATCATCTGACCTGACTCCTGTCAATTTGAATTTCAGAGAAATTCACGTGATTGAAGTGGAATGGCCACACCCAGACAATGACGAAGCGGTGATCACTATTAACTCCCATTTCCTCGGTCTGACCTCTCCTAGACCGAAATACCTGGCACAGGATGAAGGGGCCAAACAGGGGCTCTATTGGGAAGGCGATCTCCTGGCTGGATTCGGAGCTCTCAAAGGTACTCTGACCGATGACGCCCAGGTGAAGATCAAGGTGAAGTAAGTCGAATAATCTCATCAATCAGACAATTATCCTCCAGCATCCGATAAATTAAATTAAACACTGTTTATTTTTTAAAACAGGACACCAACGCCGAGGGTCTTCCAAAAACACGCCCCTTCTGGCTTTGATGTACAGCAAACCAGTGGATCGAATCAAGTGACATTCACAAGTAAAATCAATGGCGCAAAACTCTCAGATGAACCTCAAGTAGCACATGTACATTACTTCCAACCCTTCCCGTTGATGGTCATTGGAAATCTAACAAGGCTGGTTGAAGTCAGTCATTGGGGAAACAACGTGGCCATCGAAGACCAGATTCATTTAGAAAACCGCGGCCCCACGTAAGAGTTTTAATGTTATTCTGGTCATCTTTCCCTCTCCAACAGTCCAGATCTTTTCTTTTATTGATGTATATTATTTTCTTTTTTTTTTTCGAAAAGACTGAAAGGATCTTTCTCAAGAGTGGTACATCACAATGCGATCTATTCTCGAGCTCCCGGTGCTACTGCTCACATCCTGACAGGACTGACACTTGAGCTACCACAAGGGGCGATGAACCCATACTACATTGACACGATCGGCAATGTCTCCACCTCTCGTTTCCGACCCTCGATGCCATCAACCGCAACGATCGGCAAAAATCAACCGAAATTCAAGAAGATCAAGGAAGCTAAATCGAGCAAGCTTGAACTTACCCCTCGCTATCCGATTGCAGGTGGTTGGAATTACACTTTCACAGTCGGCTATAACCTTGAGGCTGGAAGACTCTTGAAAATCCACGAACCCGGGCAATATATCTTGAAAGTTCCCTTCTTCACTAACGCCCTCGACGTACCAATCGATCTGGCTAATCTTAGAGTCAGACTACCTGAGGGTGCCTTGTAAGATATCCTCTTTCTGACAGTCGATACATCCCTCTCACGGTAGCTGATTGGAATCCGATCTCACTTTTTTGTTGGTTTAACAAATCAAAAGCAATATCGAGGTTTACACTCCCTTTCCAGTTACAGAGTTGCAAGACGATCTGATCGATAAGACTTATCTAGATACCACAGGTCGCCCAACAATTTCAATCAAGAAACTTAGGTGCACGGAGAAACACGCCGAGGATATCTACGTGAGTTGCTTCTTCTTCTCTTGAATGATTATTAAGAAGAAGAGTGGAATGATTGATCGATGAATGGCATGTCCCCCTGTCTCTTACAGATTACTTACTTTAGACCACCGATCATTAGTTTACAAAAACCATTGGCAATCGCCGGATGGATGATGGCCCTCTTTGTAATCGCTGCTGGGTTCAGAAGATTTGAATGGAAAATCGGCCATCATTAAATTTATATCATTAGCACCTCTTCTCTCCTCTCTTCTCTCTTTTTCTTCGTTGTTATTTTTCCTCTAGATTTCTGTGACGATGCAAAAAAAAAAGATCACCAACAATAACAAAACAAATCCTAAATTGAACAAATTCAGTTCTTATCTTGAAGATATGGACTATACAAGGCGACACAAAATACGAAATAACAAGCAATGGATTATTTATTTGGGACTGCTTAGATACAAGTCTTGTTACAGGAGACCTTAACGGGTCAGTTACTAGCACTTCTCCCATGAGTTCCATGGCACCACATCGCGTTCAAACAGTGTTTACTTGCTGAATATTCCCGCACTGATCCAATCGAAAATCTGACTCAAGCGGTCTGTTTGTAAGACTCACTAACGCACACACTCTATGTGAGTTACTTGCCTAGATCAGTAACTACATAAGAGCTTAATTTCACATTCTCTGCAAGTATTCCCCGATCAAATTGGGGTCATCCTTTCCTGGCTTTCTTCGCTTTGTGCTCATGTGCACGTATTTGAGCGTGATGAACCGCGAAGATAGTATGTATGTCTAGGCTCCCTGTGCGCAAGGCTATTCCAACATCGCGATAAGTTCATTATGTTTTTTTTTCACGGCATGGACATCATGAAAGCGATATACATATTACTCTTCTTTTTTCCCTCAAACAAACCAAAAGCGGAGATGGCCTTCTGACTCGAGCAGGGTGAAAGAAGCTGAGTGCGGTACGTCGCTGGGAATTACATGCTCATTTGGAAATCAGCTAGTGAGAGCGAGGAAGACCGGGCCAATGAATCGCTTAACCTAGCCAGTCTCTATTCTTTCTTAGGGAGGTGGCACTGAAGGGGGAGGCTATCGCGCAGGGACACTCTGAATCTCACCATTCAACATTAAGGAAGAGTTATGAAAGTTAGTAGGCCAGATGCATCGCTAAAGTGCGATGGATCTCTTGAGGTGCAGACAGCGATCTGTGGAGACTTTTGGTCCAGTGCGTACTTCTCGAAGCGAGACGCGATGCGATCAGTCGTTCCGCCCAAGAAGATGATCGATATTCACGCACAAGGAAGTACGTTCAGTCATTTGCCTATCAACTACTCACTTTTCCGCTGGCCTATCCCCTGGTGTCCTCCCAAGCGACTTGAATCAATTAATCAACCATGAGTAAATCCCTTCAATCATGTCTACAAAATTGGAAAGAGATATCCTAATTGGGGCCCAACTAGCCGAGCTTGGGCAATCCTCACTTGACGCTGGCTGCTTTCTTCATTTCACAGTGGAAAGATTTCCCCGAGGAATAACAGGATCGACGATGAAGCGACCTACCCTATGAGAGGAATTCTCTTGGGCAGCGCAAGAGCAGAAGGATGCGACTGACTTGTGTGGTTTGCTCACCGTCGAGCCAAACGGTGATAAGGTATAAAGACAGCCCATTTGTCCGGTCTAAGGTCTTTTCCCCATCCACTTTCAACACTTCAACTTTCAACCCAACCCTTACAATAATCACTTTTAGCGCTTTGACCGGTTCATAGCTTTTCTTACTCTCTCAAAACAACTTCGCCATGCAATTCACCGTTCTCGCTGCTGCTCTTGCTGTCTTCACTGGTAAGTCTGTTTCTGTCTTTTGCTCTCCTGTCGTAACCCCAAAACTGACTTTCTTTTGAGTGTCCTTTTTTTTCAGGTGTCCTCGCCAGTCCCGCTGTTGAAAAAGCCGAAGCTCCGTAAGCTCTAGAAAAAGTTTTTCTATGTGCTAGTACGCTTTACTTAAGCTAACGCGCCTTTTTCTCACAGGGCCACTGACAAGGCTGCCAAAACCACCGATGCCCCCGAAAATTGGCCCATGCACCGTGGATCCGGTTCATTTAACTCAAACACCGGATTTAACAGCGGCAACAACTGGTACAGCGGCCAATACGGCAACGGTCAGTTTGGAAATGGACAGTACGGCAACGGACAGTACGGCAACGGACAGTTCGGCAACGGACAGTTCGGTAACGGACAGTTCGGCAACTCACAGTACGGCAACGGGCAGTTCGGCAACGGGCAGTTCGGTAACGGACAGTTCGGTAACGGACAGTTCGGCAGCGGTCAATACGGCAGCGGCCAATACGGTAACGGCCAATACGGCAACGGCCAATTTGGTAACGGTCAGTACGGCTATGGCCAATTCAGTAACGGCCAACCCGGCTATGGTCAATACGGCTATGGCCAATCCGGCAACGGTCAATCCGGCAACAGCGGATGGGGCGGATACGGTGGATTCAGCTCCTACCAGCAACCTCAAGGATCCAACAACTACTACGGCAGCTATCAGTTCGGCAGCTCGTGAGTGTTGTGAACCCCCGCACGCCCTGACCTGTATTGTGAGTTGGGTTTTTGATGTACAACTTCATTTCTCATGAGATATATACGGGCAAGTTTTGCTAACTACTTTTTTGATTTTCTTCTTACCTTCTCAGCCGCTCCGGTGAATTGCAATTTTTATTTTCAAACATTTTTATTTCTTAAGCCTTCTTATTATGTAACCCTAAGTAGCTAGCTACTGCGCAATCCAAAGTGATTATTATTACCCTCTGTTCGCTTTTGCTGTGTTTGTTGAGTGAGTCGACTACCATGTTTTTGAGTGGTCTCTTTGGCAAAGCCCTGCCGAAGGCGAGAGTGTTATCGTTGCAAAAACGGCTTCGTTTGAGTGCACTTGGTCGGTTGCCTGGCACACCAGCCAGAACAAAAGTTTGCTGCTCATTGCAATCACTTTCTGAGCACCTACTTTCTTGTGCCGATTCTCTCCTTATTATGTTCTTTTGTTTCCCTCTTCTTTCCTCTGTCTGCATCTGTTTCAGCCGTTCGCGTACTTGTTTCCAACTTCTTCATCAACAGATTAACTTTTATACTTATGCTAAAACACAAAGCTTTTTAAACATGCAAAGCACTTGATATCTAAACATTCACGTTGTGGCTAATCGACTGCAATTTCAAACACTCTGTCCACTACGATAATCGATTTTGTACCATTACTGAATACCCCGTTAAAGATTTTTTTAGCAAAACGTATGTCAAGATCTATATACGCAATGTCCCCTCACAGTCTACTTTAACAAAAGCTCACAGCCTCTCATCGACCTTGCAGCTCCATTCGCTGACAACACTAGTGCCTCGACAACACAGACATGATCGTGTAGGATCATGTAGTTGGTCTAGATCTACAAAGTCGGAATCGTCCCGCTTGACAAGCGGGACTCTGAGTTATGAAGCACCACATCGTTCTGCTCCGCGCTTGGCCAAAAAAAAAAAAAACATAAGCTACATGAAAATTCAGATACAAAAGTAGACATCTTAAACAGTTCGATCAACACATGACGTGTCGGTTGACTTCAATGTTTAAGTAGGCGTTTGCCTGCCAGCGAGGAAATTGTGCCAGCAGGTTGAATTCGCGCCGTGAATCTCATATAGTCTCGAATCCGATGATGAAAAGGTTGGACAGGATTTTCGCCCTGGTGACAGGATTTTCGCCCTGGTTAAGATCGCGGCCCGGTGCAATCATCAAGCCGAGGGATCAGATCACCCCAGTTGCAAGCCAAGAAAACTTAATGTTGCATGTAAGTCCCAGGATTTGTGCCCTCGCTCGAAAAGTTAATCAATGCCATGTGCAATCTCAGAACCGTCCTTGCAGGCTCTTCTTCGCGGTTTTGTTGCTTCCCACCAAATCCCGACGGAGCTGCCTTGAACCAGAGCTGTAATAGATTACATAGATAGAGGACCATGTAAGAGCATCTCCAACGGTCCGGGGGGCAACTGCCTCGCGTTCCCCGGGCCGCGATCCCATGTCACAGGGGTTGCGGGTCAATCCCAATTATGGACTGGCAGTTATCCCCCTGCCGCTGGTAGATCAATATTCCCTTCCCCACCAAATCAAGATGAACATCGACGATATCCTCAAATGGATGGACGACGATGACGATGTTCTTGCCTCACTACAAGCAACACTCACCTTAATACTTAACACGAAGCAAGAAAAAAAGCGTGGCGGTTCAACACCTGGAAGAAGAGAGATTCAACGAAACCGAATCGAAGGCCACAATCAGCTATTCAAGGACTACTTCGACAAGGATTGCACGTATCCCCCCGAAATATTCCGTCGCCGATTTAGGATGCGCAGGAGCCTGTTCCTCCGAATTGTTGGAGATATCGAGAAGGCCGACCAATACTTTGTTCAAAAACGCGATGCCGCTGGAAGATTAGGTTTTTCTACTCTTCAAAAGGCGACCGCTGCTATTCGAATTCTTGCATATGGATGTAGCGCAGACTCCGTTGATGAGTACCTCCGTATGAGTATGTCTTAATTTTTTTATTTTTTTCTCATTTACTAGCTCGAATCTCACCTGCCATGCTCATTATTTCAATTCAGGTGAATCCACTGCGATCGAATGCTTAAAGAAGTTCTGCTCGACAATCGTCAATGTTTATGGAAAAGAATATTTGCGAAAACCGAATGAAGAAGATGCAGCAAGACTCCTAGCCGTTGCCGAGGAGCGAGGATTTCCCGGGATGATGGGATCACTAGATTGCATGCACTGGTGCTGGAAGAATTGCCCAGTTGCTGATCATGGAAGCTATACTGGAAAGGAGAAGGAACCGACGGTTGTTCTTGAGGCAGTGGCGTCATACGACCTTTGGATCTGGCATGCATTCTTCGGGCTGCCTGGGACCCTCAACGACATTAATATACTCGACCGATCTCCAATTTTCGAGCAGCTCCAGGAGGGTGAAGGAATATCAGTGTCATACGAAGTTAACGGAAATAAATACGAGCTTGGTTACTACCTCACCGACGGGATCTACCCTCCATATGCCACCTTGATACAGTCGATCTCGGAACCTCAAGGAGCCAAGAAGAAGCATTATGCGAAAATGCAAGAGGCTTTCCGTAAAGATGTGGAACGTGCTTTCGGAGTTCTTCAATCTCGCTATGCTATCATCCGTTTCCCTGGACGATTTTGGAAACACGAGGATCTTTCAACAATCATGACAGCTGTGATTATACTCCACAATATGACAATCGAAGATGAATCCGACAGCGAACTTCATGGCGACTGGGACTACGATCAAACACCTCAAACTCAAGCGAAGATCACCACCAATGGCCCTCACGATTCATCTTTCGAACAGTTTCTCCTCCGTTATCAGTCCATTCGCGATCATTCATCGCATGCACGCCTTCAACAGGATCTTATCGATCACCTGTGGAATAAGCATGGGTCAGAGGGGGATGAATGAAACTTTTTTCTTCAATCGTTTTTCTTCTTCGTTGCATCGTTTTCATCTCCTTTTCTTTGTTTCTCTCTCTTTCTCTTGCATTGTTTTGATTTCTTTTTTTTGGTTTCTCTTTCTCTCTTTTTTATTTTTCTATGCTTACTCTTGATTGTATCTCAGTTTATTTCTTGTATTCTTTCATTTGCAATTGATTTTAAATGAAAAATACAAACAAGAATAACAAGAATAAAAGAATAAGAAAAGTTGCAAGTGTGAGTGTCAAGATCGAGTGTAAAAAGGAGTTCGAGAGTGAATGAAATCGAGTGAATATAGTATTATCAATCAGTTTTTTTTGTTGTAATCCTCCTCGTCGTCATTCTCACCCTCGCCCTCATCATTTTCGTCTCCCTCTTCTTCATCGCTTTCGCTTTCGGTTTCGGTTTCTCCTAGCTCTTTTTCCTTCTCCTTTTTCTCCCTTTCTTCCTTCTCCTTTTTCTCCTTTTCTTCCTTCTCCTTTTTCTCCCTTTCTTCCTTTTCCCTTTTCTCCTTTTCCTTTCTCTCCTTTTCCTTGTTCTCCTTCTCTTCTTGCTCGAGCTCGCGAGCGATGATTGCTCGTCTCTTCCTTTGATAATACGCACGACTCTCCTCGTCCATCGAAGTCAGATCCTTTGACATGATTGCATCGTCCGATGCAGCTTTCATCGATGTTAATCGTTCGCGCGATATCTCAACGAGATCCTTTTGCATTGCAACAATTTTCGTAATTGACGCCTCCTCCGCTCGTTTTCGCTTGGCCGCTTTAGAACCTTCGATACGAGTGTTTCCAAGGACCGATCGAGCAGGTTCCGACTCGTCGTCTTCAACATCAATTGCTGGAGGGCTTGAGATCGCATTTGTCGAGCTGCTCACATCGGTCGAAGGAGGAGGTGGGCTAGATATCTGGGTCTTCTTGCCTCGAGATTTATTCTCTTCCTGGGTAGCCTGCCATTTTGGGGTGTCTTTCAAGATACCCCAGCAATGGTCAAGGTTGAAACCACCCCCCGAGGAAGCCTTATATAATTCTTTTGCCTCGGTAAACTGTATCCAAAAATAGATGCAGACACATCAGTAAAAAATTGTATAAACTAAAAGTAAAAATAAAAACGTACAATATCATCTCGACTCTTTCCGCTCTTCAAGCGTCGTTCAGCATTTGCAAAGCAGCCAGCAAATTTACTGACACACTTTTGGATGTGTCCCCAGTGGCATTCAACGGCCCCAACTGGTCGTATAGGAAGAGGCTTGAAGTTCTTCGAGTTCTTCTTATCGTCATTGTATTCGGTGATCAAGTCGGAGAGGGTTGCGTGGATTCGTTCCCAAAAAGTGGTGGCCTTCTGCCCATTCCCAACGATCGGGTCGCGACTCGTATTCAACCAAGCAATGCAGAGCTTTTTGTCCTCTTCAATGGACCATCGAGGAAAACCTTTCTTGGGAGTTGGGTCCTGGTCAGCTTTCGGGGTGGCGGCATTGTTGACGGTGGACTTTTCAGTAGGTTTGGGGGTTGAAACATCGGCGGTGGATGTTTGCGAACTCGATTTTGCTTTGGATGTCTTCTTTTTTTTCTTTGGAGAGCTCGGTGCTGGATTTGGTGTGTGTGTTGGGTTTGAAGAAGGAGGATCCGGGTCGTCCATCGTTTGTTGTGGGGTCTTTTTGCGCGGCATCGTATGTCGGATCGTAGAGGAATGGGGAATCGCGGCTGGGAGGTGACTGGCAGAACTCAGAAGGGGACCGCGGGTTTGATTGCCCCCGGCAATTTGTTGAGGGCCATGTCACAGGTCCGCTGGAGCGGAAAATGGACACCCGGCCTGCCAAAGTTCGCCCCCGGACGCCCGGTCGCGGGTCCGTTGGAGATGCTCTAAGATCCCTTTTGGTGGAGGACCGCATCCTTTTTGTCGAAAGATGGTTGATATTCACACACAGGTAGGAACTACTAATGGTTTCTCGCCTGTCAACTGCTCACTTTTCCGCTGGCCTATCCCCTGCTGTCCTTCCAAGCGACTTGCATTAATGAATCAACCATGCGTAAGTCCATTGAATCTTGACCACCAAAATTGGGAAGAGATATCCTTATTGGGGCACAAATAGCCGAGCTTGGGTAATCCTCACTTCACGCTGGCTGCTTTCTTCATTTCACAGTGGAAAGATTTCCCCGAGGAATAACAGGATCGTGGATGAAGCGACCTACCCTGTGAGAGAGATTCTCTTGGGCAGCGCAAGAGCAGAAGGATTCGACTGACTTGTGTGGTTTGCTCACCGTCGAGCCAAACGGTGATAAGGTATAAAGACAGCCCATTTGTCCGGTCTGAGATCTTTTCCTCATCCACTTTCAACACTTCATCTTTCAACCCAACCCTTACAATAATCACTTTTAGCGCTTTGACCGGTTCATAGCTTTTCTTGCTCTCTTAAAACAACTTCGCCATGCAATTCACCGTTCTTGCTGCTGCCCTTGCTGTCTTCACTGGTAAGTCGGCTTCTGCCACTCGTTCTGCAACTGTTTTACACAACAAAGGACTGACTTTCTCGGTTGCTCTCTTCTTGTTAGGTGTTCTTGCCAGTCCCGTGGTTGAAACAGCCGAGGCTCCGTAAGTTTTAAACAAACTTCTTACCCGCGCGCCTCGGTTCAGCTAACACGCCTTTTTTTGTAGGGCCGCTCCCAAAGCAGCCGAAACTGCTGAAGCCGCACAAACTTGGCCCTTGTACCGTGGATATGGCGGGTACGGCGGAATCAACGCCAACGTTGGATTCAACGCAAACGCCGGATTCAACAACGGGTACAACGGGTACAACGGTCAACACGGCAATGGTCAATTCAGCAACAGGCAATTCGGCAACGGCCAATTCGGCAATGGCCAGTTCGGCAACAGTCAATTCGGCAATGGTCAATTCGGCAACAGCCAATTCGGCAACAGCCAATTCGGCAACGGCCAATTCGGCAACGGCCAATTCGGCAATGGCCAGTTCAGCAACGGCCAATTCGGCAATAGCCAATTCGGCAACGGCCAACTCGGCAATGGTCAGTTCAGCAACGGCCAATTCGGCAACGGCCAATTCGGTAATGGTCAGTTCGGTAGCAACGGATGGGGCAGATACGGCGGTAACAGCGGATACAGCGACTACAACTCCCAGCAACGTCAAGGGTACAGCAACTACTACAACAACTACTAGTTGATGGCTCCTGACCATTGCATGCCGCTGTTAGCTCCATCCTGCAATGTGAGTTAACCCTTCGAATTAATAGTATCGCCACTCCAGAATCAGAAACGGCTCACTGTGCTAACGATTACTATTATCCTTTCCCAGCTGCCATCGTGAATTGCACTTTTTATTTCGGACAATTTTTATTTCTTTAAACTTCTTATTATGTAACCTTAAGTAGCTAGCTACTGCGCAAATTACAGTGATTATTATTCCTTTCATCTTTTGCTTTGTGCCACGCACACCGAGTGAGTTACCTTGCCCCTGAGGGGTTCTGCCCGGCACAATTGCCGCCGATGGAAGTCTTGGTATTCTGCCTTGCGGCGTGAGGCGACGAGCCAGCTTGAGATACGCTCACTCTTTTGTCAGCGGAATCGTGTCATTCGCTTACGTAGTGCAGCTGAGCCAGCGCACACATTGACCAATAATAAAAGACATTTCGTTTTTCCAGTCATTGCTCGTAGCGCTCATCATACTCATCTGTTTGTTTCAGGCTTTTCCGAGTCTTACCGAAGATCGTCAAGTGCACTAATATTTTTGCCAAAAGACTCCATGCTAGGCCTACCTCATGTAATTCCCCACGTCTCCCTGTGAACACTCCTGATCGATGCCACAGGCTGCTTAGATTGAAGCCCACAGCCATCAAGATCTGTGACCAGTGTCATTCCAGCTTGTCTTGGTGGTTAAATTCTTGACATACCAAATCAGCAATCATCAAAAAACAAACTGCACAAAGTCGGAACTGCTTTGGTTGACGTGCAAAGCTCTTAGCTATGATGCTGCGCGCCCTATTCTTCCTCTCTTCCTTTTTGCCAAAAAAACACATACACAGGTGGTGAAAACATAAAGAGAAAAGCAATACATCTCGTACAAACGCATGACTTGGCGTATGATTTCAATGGTTAGGCGTTTGCCTGCCGAGTGAGTCCGATGATCAAAACATTTGGCGTGCTCTGCAGGATGACAGAATCGTGCCGGCGCCAGGGAAACAAAAGGCCGCGAGGAAATGGTTTTAGAGCTGAATACCAAACCGTCTCAATGATGCAAGGAGTCGATATCCATTTGGACAGGATTTCCGACTCTGGTTAAGATCACGGCCCGGCGCAATATTCAACCTGAAGGTACCCGAGTTGAACGCCAAGAGAACTGATTGGCAAGTCCCACGATTACCCTCGCTTGAAAGGAGAAATGGCATGTCCGAACGCCCTTCACTCTCCTTCGCGGGTTTATCGTCAGGATAAGCTTCTCATCGTATCACGACGGAGTTGCCTTCAGCCTCAGGTGTGATAGAGGACCATACATATTCTTTTTGGGAGGCCAAGCTTTAGCGAGTTCACACTTCTTCAAGATTTTGCCTCCCTCCCCTCCAAGAATAAGTTTCCCATAGCAGCATGGAAGAGTCTTCTGGCTTGAACGGTGGCACAGGTCCTTATTTTCTTTCAAACAACCGAGGTTAATCGATCAAGGAAAAGCGAAGAGTACGTGAATGCGAGACGTGGTGTGTAAGTAGAGCAAATCAGTCGACGACTTGTTCACTCGGGAATTCATCGTCGTATCAGCCCTTTATGGACTTGAGGTGGTATAAAACCAGGCCATCTGGTCCGCTTCTCTTTCTTCCCTCATCCGCTTTCAACTCTTACAATTTCGACCCATATTTTTAAAACAATAATCACCTTTTGGCGCTTTGACAGGTTCATAGCTTTTGCTCCTTATTTCAACCACCTTCATCATGCGATTCACTTTCCTCGTCACTGCCCTTGCTGTTTGCACTGGTGAGTTTCTGTCTCTGAACTAATGCTTTTCGAGGAGATTCGAGCTGACGTTGGACGTATCAAACCTTTAGGTGTCTTTGCCAACCCTGAAACCCAGCATGCTGAGGCCCAGTAAGTACACTCCCGCCGGTCAAGAAACTTTTTCCAAAGCTCAGATTTTTTTTCAAATTTAATGATTTTGTAGGGCGACTACTCAAGCTGGCCAGACTGCTCAGTTAGCACAAACCGCCGAGAACTGGCGTCGCCCGTACCCAGGTTTTTACAACTACCCACCTCACCCTGTATACGCACCTTATCCAGGATACACACCCTACCCCCAATACGGGCCTCGCCCCGGAGGCTACTACGGGCGCAACCCGTATCCCCAACACTTCTGGTAATGTGAGTAAAGCTGCTAGTACTATTATTACATGGGCATTGAGTGATCAATTGCTGATCCTCGTCATCAATCTGATTACAGCGACATTGTGTTTCCTGCAACATTTACGATTTGACTTGAGAATTTCCTTTTTACATTATGAACCTTTTAGTAGCTAGCTACTGCGCAATCTTATGGTGATTATTTCAACAAATCTCCTGTGTCTTCCTTGCGCGACTGCGACGTTGAGGATGTGTTGTGAGCGTCTAGACATGCTCCCTAAGAGGGCCATTGCCGTGGTGCAGGAGTCCATTTGGCTCAAAATGACTGCTTGATAAACCGTTAATCTGCAAAGAATGGCTACTGTTCTCTCTGAGAGACGATTCTGAGGCCAGCCGCCTTTGTCATGTGTTTGCAAGACTCTTACTCTTCAGAGGGCTTCCAACCAAGTGTCTGCTACAAAGTCCCTGAGTGCGCTCAGCCTCCGCTCATGATCTTTGATAAGTAACGATTCCAGCCCTCCAGTTGTTATTTGAAGTTGTTCACGGCTTGAAAGAATCAGACATGCACCTCCAAAAGAAAGAAGGGGTCTGCCCAGGAGGATTCCCCGTTTCGGAAGCTGATAGTTCGGGTAGCTCGATTCTCTCGGGGCTCTCCCGACAGCCTGCCACACCACACCTCGTCATCTCACGAAAACCACCAAGGAACAACCCACCATCAACCACCATCAACCAAACAACATCCAGCAACCCAGCTGAAACCGAAGACCCGCTCAAGCAGAAAGATCTTGTTAGTTAGTATCATCAATTCACATTTGCTTGGAAACCGAGGGACTGAAATGTACCGGAGACCTATCATCAACAAATCAAGCACCTCAACTTTCAAACATCTTGGAACTCATAACACTCACCCGGAATTCTTCACATCACAGACAGTATACCCAAGAACAATCTCACGCCATACCAAGCATCAGTCATCCAATTTTGGCAATTTTACCATACTCAGGGGCTTCAATACCACCCGTCTCAATCAAGCCGTTTACAGACGTTTCGGCGATGATCAAAACAACAAACCAACTTGGTCACTCACCCCATCTTCAAATGGAAAATATCGCAGATGGTCGAAAAATCAGAACTTTTATGGTCTTCCTTCGTGGATTTGGCTGGTCGGCGCTGGCGGTGGCGTTTATTATGTGACTCATTTAGAGAAAGTCGAGTTGACGGGTAGATGGCGGTTTATGGATACCAGCATTGAAGCTGAAATTGCTGTAAGTCCACGTGTCTGATTGTCTCTCCTCTTTTTCTCCAAGAAAAGGAAAAGAAAAAGAAAAAGCTAGACCAAAAAAAGCGTCATTATTGATTTGATTTTTGCCGTCCGTGTGTGCTGATGTGAAGTGATTCAGACAGGAGAGCAAGTTTATATGCAAACATTAGCCCAATTCCGCTCGAAACTCTTGCCCCCCACGCATCCTACCAGCAGATTCATTAGCGGCGTGGCCCAAAAGATCATTCATGCTTCTGAGCTCCCTAGTCACCCCGATCGATCAATCGACCATTTTTCAAATTCTTCACCTGAGCTGGGTGACTGGGCTTCGCCCGGAAGTCCGAACTCTTCTAATCCCGGTCCGGTTTCCGATTGGAAAATCCACGTGATCGATGAGCCCAAAATTCAGAATGCGTGGGTCCTTTCGATCTCTGAAAATGTGTCTTTTTTCTGCTGTTCAGCTCACCATGTTTGAATTTGTGTATAGTTTCGTGATTCCAGGTGGGAAGATTTTTGTGTTTACAGGGATTTTACCGATTTGTCAAAACGAAGCTGGCTTAGCGACTGTCTTAGGACATGAAGTAGCTCATCAAGTCTTAAGACATCCGGCCGAACGAATGTCTAGCATGAAGGTCATCTTCCTCTTGACCACCATGTTGAGCATCGTGGGGTTAGACCCTGGTATATGTCGTGCTGTTGTCACACTCTTAATGACACTACCCAACTCGCGTCGGAGTGAGGTTGAAGGTGAGGCCTCTCTTTTACTCTGTCATTGGACATCTTGAATCATTGAGACACTTTGCATGAAAAACTGACTGCTCGGTCATCATTTTACCTAGCCGACCAAATTGGGCTGAACATTATGGCTTCAGCATGTTATGATCCAAGAGAAGCTATCGGGGTTTGGAAAAGAATGGATCAGCATGATCGATCAAGTCGGATAACCAGAAAAGCTACCGAGTTCCTTCAAACACATCCCACCCATGACAGAAGAATTGAAAAGGTAAACCGCCCGTGCCACTTTTTGCTGTGTGATCACGAAATAAAGAATTGACCCAGTTTGCTTGCACATTAATTCCTCAGATCATTTCCTGGTTACCCGAAGCTCAGACTCATTTGGACCGAAACTGTGGCTTTACAAATAAAGCTTTCCAACAATATAATCGCTGGAATCCTTGAAACAAATACACATACATAAAAGGGCTTCTTATTCCTCTTAATCTGTAATTGTTTCCAAAATCCTAAAGTATAAACATATTCTTGGATGGTCCAATCCGGTCAAGTTGTACACTATCCTTGATCTACAAAGCCAGCAAAGAATCAAATCTTGAACAAAGATAATGTTGAAGTCTACCACCTAGGGTTCAAGTCTGTTCAATCAAAATGGGAATAACCATTCTGGATATGTAACTATTTTTTTGTTTGAATATACACAAGTACACACAACCAGACGAGTGGGTATATCTTGCGAGATGGTGAGGCCACCTTTTGATTCTTCATAATGTCAAGCTAGAAGGATGTACCCATCGCACTCAAAGAACAAAAAAACAAAATTCTGAAGGGAGATGACCACGACCATCATCAATCTTGGTTCAATGTGGCAATGTTGACCATGTAAGCTTGAGAGGTACAATCAACATCGTTGACAGTGTGCCAGAAGCAATCCCAACCAGACTGGTATGTGATCAAACTCATTGCCACAGTACAGTGAGCCCCGCTCATTATAAGCATAGATGAGTCGCTCTCTTTTTCATTTAGCTGTCTTCAGGTTTGAGTGAGTGATGAAAAAAAAACGCATGCTGAATTATTTTCTGCGCTGACTGCAAGGTCGACGACCTCGATACAAGGTTTGATCGACGAACCGCAGACAGCCTCTCCACATCGAGTGTTGTTGCTCTAGTTCTCGAAATACACTTATTTAATCAGACAAATCCGAGGGTACATAGACGAGTTTGGATGAGGAGACAAGAAGCGCGAAATGCTTTGCGGAGTGTCCTTTGGAAGACACAAGTCTGAGCCAAGAGGGACTTGGAGAATGCCTCTCCCTCACACTCTCAACTACCTGAGCTAGGGGTAACAATCCTTCCACCCTTGTTGTTCCACCCGGACCCAAGTCTTCCTTTTATCATCACAGCTACTGCCTCCATAAGTGCCTTTCCCCAACTCAATTTTCATCACCACTTGTTATCTTCCCTCGCAGTACTTGCAGGGAACGAGTTTTCCTTCTGCCCCAACTTCCCACCGGGAGTCAAATCACATTCTTTACATACATTACAATCATTCATATATCTAACTTTGCCCTGCCGCTTGAAAACATTCCTTCTTCAAATTATAACATCAAGATATACATCAGTTGAATCAATCAAGCTGCTTTCACGTTAAATATCGCTAGATAGACTTTCTTGAAAGTAAGAACTGTACGCTTAGGAATAATCAGTTTCATCTGAGGATTCAGGGCCCGAATTTTTTTCAAGATAGGATTGTATCGATCATTCAACACCACCATGAAAGTCGCATGTTCACTTGCAGTCGGCGTCTCAATGATCCTCTTCACCCGCTTCGATTCTTGCGACGCTGGGCCGCTGATACCAAGAGGACTGCCGGGATTGGAAATTGCAGGTCGTACTGCACAATTGGGAACTCGTATCACCCTTGGGAAATTTTCGTTCGAAAGTTTCTGGAAAGCTTTGGAAATCGAGAGGGAAGAAGAAATGGAGGAAATGGACCTGTACGGCCATCAATTCACCCGGCCATCACCTGATTCTTCCAATCCATCACCTACACCTTCAAATTGATTGGCCGGACGAAGTATGGGCTGCCTCTAGTCGTCCCCTAAAAACTGAACTTTATATTTTGTTTACAACTCTTGATAGTTCAGAGGATATAATTAACCTCCTCACCTGTGGCCACTATAAAGTAGTATACTATACTTATACAAGTCGTCTGTTCCGCAAAGCTTGGACCGATTGAAAAACTTTTCGTCTCAGTAAATACAGGTAAATCCCATATCGCTATTCATCAGCTTTATTTTTTCGAGTTTTGTCTTTCACATATGCCTAGCTTGACCCAAGGCCAAGCACAAACTTAAAAGCTACAATCCATGTTATTTTTTTGTGAATGAAGCAATGAACAATCTGAGTTCAGTTTTGGAACCAGGGGTAAAAGTTTACAAATTACCCCCAGTCCATCCTCAATGCAACCCACACCTTGCCGCACTCAGTCAGTTGGGGGTAGGCTGTTGGAAGCCAAGCTTCTAGTTGCTGGGTAGGAGCAGGGAAGGGAGAGGCAAATAGTGGGATACTGTAGGGCAGAAACATCAGGCGGAAAGTATTTTCAGGATTTTTTATATCCATATCAAAAGCAAAAATTTGAAAATGGTCCCAGCTTTATGTAAAAGACAATATATTGATGTGTTTATACTTGCTAGGGGGTTGGATTTAGAACTCCAGAATCTCCGGAAATCCTGGCAACTCTGGGATTTTTGACCAACCAAAATTTCTTCAAGTCCCCACCATCATGTCATTCCCTCACTTATCCTTAGTACACATCACAACTCAATCACTCACCTGAAATAATCTTAACCTTGTCATATCACACTGGTGTTGGATCAGCTGGATGTACTGCCTCTACACCAATTGTTTCTTACATATGCTTGTACCCTTATTAATAAAAGACTGTTACAAAACCCCTAATAAGAGATTCTCCACCGCGGGCCCTATATTGGGTCCCTATCCTGCATATAGGGACCACAAGGCCCAAAACCACAGCCACTGCGGCCCCTATGTGGGGCCCTATGATAGGGACAATGGTCAAAAGTCCCCATCAAGCTGTATGTATACAGACTTGATAGGGCCTGGCCAATCAACCCTATGCCGTGTGAACCTTACAACATCAGAAAGTTTCACATATCCTCACACACACCACAAATCCGACCAATCAGCTTTCACCGGGCTTTAGGGGGTGTGCACCGGCTAGCGGTGGAAAAAAACCCCGGCTTGGTTGCTATCCGGTCTCTTTGGTCCCTATTGGAGGCATATAGGGCCCGCAGTGGAGATGCTCTGATGATTACACAAGGTCAGATTCATTTTTGCAAGACA